ATGAATATTCCAGATGTGGCTAGTTCTGAAGCATCAACTATTGTAGTTCCTCAGTCCAGTATATATATTTTTAGAGAAACATTGGTTGAGTGGATTGTAAAGAATAGCCTTCTATTTGTTACTATAGAATCAAAAAGCTTTCATAAATTATTTAAAGTAATTAGAAAATTAGAAGGTGACGTTACAGTTCTATCTGTAAGAATGGTGAAAAGAGATCTATTAGTACAATACTTAGTATTAAAAGTCTTGTTAAAGGGTATACTAAGAAATAACTTGAGTAAAATTTTACTTACTACAGACATATAGACTAGTAAGAGCTGTAAGGCTTTTTTAAGCATTATAGCATACTGGCTTGATGATAACTGGAAATTCAATATTACGTACTCGATCTTGCGCCATTTGAAGGATCGCATTCTGGGATAAATATAGCAAATTTTTTAATAAATATTTGTGAAGACTTCGGTATTACTAGCAAAATACTTGGTATAATACTTGACAATGCTTCTAATAACAATACATTTATTGAAGCATTTGAATTATATTTTACAGATATTAGTAGTTCTTTCACTAAGCGGCAAGGTTATGTACGGTGCTTTGCTCATATTATTAATCTTGCTTTACAAGATTTTTTATCTCATCTACGCTCCAAAGCACCAAACCAAGAAAATGAAGATCTTAATATTTTGGACCAAGCAAACACCTCTAATACTTCTCATATCTCAACAATTAAAAAACTTCATAAGCTTATCACAAAGCTTCAGCATTTACCCCAATGTTGTTAAAGGTTAAATAAACTATATAAATCTCTCAGAATATAATATAAGAGTCCAGTTCTTGACTTATAAACACAGTGGAACTCAACTCTTAATATGATTGAACGAGCTATTACTATGGCTTCAGAAATTAATAAAATGGTTAGTGAAGTTTTTGAGCTAAACGTATTTAGTATTCTGTCACGAGAATGAGATATGTTAAAAGAAATTTCATTACCTTTAAAAACTTTTCACGATATATCTAAAATGTTATGCGGTGAATTATATGTAACTATGTCTTTCACCATTTTAGCATTTAATTTAATTATGAATGATCTTAAAGAAATGCTGGAAAAAGGGTTGTCATCAGTAATTAATGAAGCTATTGAAGCAGCACTTGAGAAATTAAAAGTTTATTATGCCAAAAGTGATAGCCCTATCTATGCAGTAACAACCTTATTAGATCCAAGATTTAAAAAAGCACATTACGAAGTAAGTGATTGAGATAGTGAGTAGATTGATTGGGCAATTGAATGCTTAAATGAAGTATATAGTAAATATAATTATGACTACACAGTACCAGAAAGTAGTAATACTTTTAATACTAGCAGCAGTTGTTTTAATTGAGTTTTCAGAAAGCTTTGTCATTCTATAAATATATATCAATAGTAGAACATACATATCACAGAGTTTTCAAAATTAGCACGATTACCTTGCTATACCTACAACTAGTGCACCGTCTGAAAGACTATTCTCAAAAGATTCAAACATGGATACTAAAAAGCATGGATCGCTAAATCCAGAAACAATTCAAAAAGCAATTGCACTTTGTGATTGAATAGATTGAAAATTTATATTATTATATTACAGTATTATAATTTGTATATAGGATTTATTGCTATTCTATTGTATTATATAATATAGATAATATATATATACATTTAGTATACACATATACTTTAATAATAAAACAAATTTGCTGTGCAATAAAAGTTGTATAATGATCATTTTAAATGTTTATATAACAAACATCTTTAAAGCATTTGTATAACAATAATATAAACTATCCTACTACTACTAATCATATACCAAAACTAATTATATATAATAAACTTATCCTAATTCTAATAATATAATGATAAGTTCATTTTTCAACACAAAAATATAAGAAGTGAAGACCACATAACTTTCCTGAATAATATACGATTATTACCTGTTAGAAAGAAAAAAGTGTTTAAACTATTCCTGAAAAGAAATAAAAAGCATTATAACACATTCTTACAAACCAAAACAAATGGAAACATATTACGCTCTAGAACATATCAAAAATTTAAAGAATGTATTTAATTAGTACCTAGAAGAGAAAAGTTAGTTATATGTTTATTCAAAAATTCAATAATCAGCATATTAAAAAAAATTATACTTATCCAAATTCCCAAAAACTAAAATAAAAAATAAAAAACTGGAAGCTCAATGATGCCCTTAAACAGGGATGGGTTCAGTTATATTAGTTTATAATCAATTTTCTAAATTTTAAATTTAATTTTGTTCATACTATCTTATAAGCAAAAAGTAAGATCCCTTTTCAAAAATTCAAAATTTTAAAATTAGTCATTATTAGTCATTGGTCATAGACAGCTGTTTTCGATAATTTTAAAATTTTAAATTTTAGAGAAGGTATTTTGCATGTTATTTATAGGATAATAAGAATAGGATTTAATCTTAAACGGCTTTAATTAGCAGCTCAAAAAAAAATCATTTTAAAAATTTAGGAGATTGATTATAACTAATAACTGACTGTAATCAACCAAGCCTATCTCTAAAATCTAAAAAAAAAAACATTAGTAACATATCCACCAAGTAAGCAAAACAAACAGCACAAATCATATGACTTTGGAATGTATTAAAAAACTAAAAGAAGTTCAAAGAACGCCTTTAATTAGTATCTGAAAGAGAAAAAAGAATATTAGCTACATGTTCAAGAAATTCAAGAACCAACATGACAAAAACAACCATATTTCTCTGAATTTCTAAAAATCAGAAGTACCTAGATACACTCCTTGAATAACTCAAAACCTGTCCTTGATAGAACAATTTTAATACCCACTATGTTATTTGATATTATTGTATTTCTAATACCTAATATTTAAAAAATATGATTTATTAATATAGTCGTCCCTCATTAATATTAACATATTAATATCAACTTAGGATTATACTTGCCGCTCAAATCAGTACAAATCCTTATCCTAATTCTAAAAAATTAAATGAAAAAAATAGGCTTGATACTTTGTAAATATATTCTATATAACTATAAGAATTTATTTAATTTGCTTAAATAAAGATTATTAACAAAGTTTTTGAAAGATTAATTTATCTCAGATTTGGGTGTAGCAAATTACAGATTTGGGCGGCAAGTATACCTAGAATATAAAATGAATTTCTATATGTTAAATTTATTCATATATATCAATTTTAATATATTCTTTCATTAATATAACTATCAACATAAATATAAATAAAGCGATACAAATAAGTTGTTATTAATGAGAGCGATTATAACTCTAGAAAGCATTTAAAAGCTATAGGATCCATAAGTTTATTATATTAAAAAAACCTACAAATGAATTCTTTGTGTCTACCCGTTCTACTCTTATAAAGTTTTCTACAATCATTTGATTCGTTGCATTATTGGGATCGATCTTTAGTAATTAACTGAAGAACTGTTTGTGGTAATTGTGGATCTAAAAAAGTGAAAAAACTTGCAGTATTCATGTTAACAGCAGCAGGTTCTGAAGTTCATTGACGAATCATTCTTGTTCAAATGCTTCTTCTTGTTGAATTATTTCTACAACCGAGAATAGGCTCTTGAATCTTGTTCTATGTTTAATAATAAAGTTTAATTTATATTTTGTTTTTGACACAAGTTAATTTAAATTATAAGATCTTAAATCTGTAAATCTAAAATCTATTTTCGCTCTTACAGATTATTACCAAATTTTGTTTTTTTCTGATTAATGATCTCAAATCTGTAGATCTAAAATCTACTTTCGCTTTTAACAAATTTTTTATTGATTATTATATACGTAATCAATCTGACACAAACAGTATTATGGGTCGAAATTATTATATGCATAATCAACCTGATACAAACAGTGTCACAGATCAGAATTATTATATTACACATAATCTTAGTCTATTAACATTAAACATAAGATTATGCATTACCCAATTTAGAAATTATGATCATCAAATATTACTTAAGTATTTGACTATTAAATTTTTATTTGATTTTGCCCAGCACTAATTACAACCTTCAATTTGTATATGTCTTTGTAGTAAATTTTATATTAGTTTTATATCACAACATTACAAAATATATTATTCAACACAAATTAGACAACCATCAGTAGCTACTTGATTGGTAATTTTAACTCAAGCCTTTAATAAACAAGAAGAACTATGCCTTCTCCTATAACCAAAATACAACACGCTGAAAATTCTATATCTTCAACTGCTCGTATATTTTTTTCTAGCTTTCAAACAGATCCTGATCTTTGTCAAATTATTAAGCAATCACAATACTATTATATATGTTATGTTTACAAACTTAAAAATATTTACTGTGTCTATATCAATGAACAACAAAACTATGCATCTGACTAATTACAGTATGTCTTTTTAAAAGAAACTTTATTTACTGAGTTTGTGTTTCTAAACTTTATAATTATAAACTTAAACCTATTCACTGGAAAGTACCTCTTAATCAACAAAAAATTGCTATAATTACAAAAATCTTCTTTATATTAGCAAAAAAATGACACTAAAACAAAAAACTTACCTGAAACTTGTGAAATTACATCTGAAAGAAAAGAAGCAATATATAAAAAAAAAAACTGCTCCAAGATGAAAAAAATGGTGACTTCAATAAATAGCTCCAACAGTGAAATCAAATCTAGAAGAAAGAAAAGCAGTAGTAAATATATAAGGAAAAAAAATGACACCAAAATGAAAAACTTATCTAAAATCTAGTAATGATAGCTCTAATAGTGAAATCACACCTAGAAGAAAGAAAAACAATAATAAATATATAAGAAAAAAAAATATCAAAACAAAAAACTTAACTGAAACCTGTGAAATTATATCCGAAAGAAGAGAAGCAAATATATAACTGCACCCAAGATGAAGAAAATAGCAACAGCTTCAATAGTGAAATCAAATCTGAAAGAAAAAAAAGCAGTAATAAATATATAAGAAAAAAAAATGACACCAAGATGAAAAACTTATCTGAAACCTCCAGTAATGATAGCTTCAATAGCAAAATTACATCTGGAAGAAAAAGAAACAGTAGTAAAATATAAAGAAAAAAAAAGCAGATCTAATCTAAAAAAAATTTATAATAAAAACTTATCTGCTGATCTGTTAGTAAGGTGGTAATCTGTATAATAGAAAAGTGTCTATTTGATCATATGGGGGGGAGTCAGTAGAAATGGGACAAATCATTTTTAGTGAATTTTTTTTAATTTTTAAATTACAATTTCTTGACAACTACTTAACTAATTTTGATAAATTTTTTTTTATTTTAATTCTAGAATTATCTGAAATTAAAATAAAAAAAAAATTTATTAGATTTAATAAGATAGTTGACAAGATATTTAAATTTAAAGTTAAGAAAACTTTTACTTAGAAAAAATTTGTTCCATTTCTACTAACTCCCCCCATATGACTCTGACCTAGTTCAAAGATCGATTAATCACATGATTTAAAATTTTTTATCTATATTCTGTATCTGTTTAGTCTATTATGTATATTTGGTCTGACTATTATTATGGTCCTCCATGTAAATGGACTTGCCCACCTGTCTACTTATATCATTCTCTTTTAAAGATAGCCTACAAGATGTAAAGAACATAATTACTTTAGAAGCAGTGGCTGCATTGATGTAATTTACAGAAGGAGTTATTAAAAAGGATTGTATAAAAGTATAGAAATCTATAAATTGTTTACACTTGTTAGTTGATTACTATTGTTTTTTTAAATATTTTTCTTGGTTAAGTTCTGTTAAAAGTATATTGGCAATTATTTTTTTTTTTTAATATTAAGGTGACTACTTTGGGGTCTGGCACATTTTATTAAACTTTGGATCGAATGCTAGGGTAACTATATAGGCTACCTCTGACTTTGTTACATTAACAAGGATACATTTTAGCTATATATACAACTTTTGGTTGTCTATTTAAGCAGTTTTGCATATGTAATCTATATGAACTACACTAGATGCCGTACCTGTAACCCACTATTACTTGAGTTACCCAATTAAACCCTCTGATCAACTTAGTGCTGTCGAGATATTTTTTTCAAAAAGGAACTGCTGTGTAAGCTTCTTAAGACTTTAAAGCAGATACACAGAGATTGATTTGTTAATAGTAGAGTTGTGATTATATATAAAGTTTTGTTAAAAAGTCTGGTCATTTGCTAGCTATAACTTTGACCAGATACATATAATTAAACTTTTGTTTGGGTTTGTTATCCTTTGCAGTTTAAGTAATTTTCTCTGAATAAATATTTATGAAATGAGGTTTGATGAAATCAAATAGTTGATGAGCAATAAAAGTATTAAGTCTGGTATTATTTTCTATTTTTTTAATTATTTGATATTCTTCAAACCAGTCTAGATTATTTGTAGTTTCTCTTTCTTTTGTTTTTAGCATTTAGTTCTTAATGTTGCTGTTGTTTAGTATAGATTTGATGTTGTTGTTTCTGATATTGGTTTTCTTTTTGTTGGTGTTCTTGTTGCTGTTGTTGTAATTGTTGTTGTTTGTCTTGTTGTTGCTGTTG